GCGTGATATGGAAAATTGACTATTATCAGACTCTTGTCACAGCCTCTCTTCGTGTTTCGACCAAAACTATTTGCTAGGTAAATCTATTAACTTAACTACTTCGTTAATTTGCCATCATAAGTGGATAAAATTCATGAAAACTACAATAAATATGTGGAGGTTTATAGTTAGAACTGGCATAGCCCACACGGATTCGAGTATAAGTACGAGTATAAATCTTACAACGTAGTGCGAAGAGGAAACGTCTGCTAAGCAGGCTAACGTACCGAAGTAGCATATAGTTCGTAACTGGTATATAAAATTATGTTCTCTGTCAGTCTATCCACAAATGAAATCAAACATTTTCCTGTTTAGCTTAGAAATAATATCTGTATATATTATAATTAATGTTTGACATTTAAACCAACGGAACATGAGTAAAGTAATATGATCTAGCTTTGCTAGAACTTTACCCCAGCTGCAAACTACTGTACTTCCGGTTTTTCAGTAGATTCCCGCAAATAGAACCATTGTAGCTAATTAATAAAGTTCCTATCCTTTGTCGAAAAATTTTTCTATCAAAGAATTCTCAACAAAAGCAAATTCCATAGAACTTTATGATTATCTTTTCTTAGCAATAATATGGTAACCTTTTCTCAATTCNGAGGTCTGTAACTAACCTGCATAGGGAAGGGCTTGCCTTGTCTTTGCTGAATTCCTTGTGGAAGGAAGCAGCACAGTTCTTCACTTTTTTCGTGGCTTTCTTCGGGCAGTCGGGCTGCAGGTCGATTCCCTCGAGCGAATTCAGCATACCGTATCTGCAATAATAATTCTCCGAGCCAATGACTGTTAGTGCTCTGGAGGAAATATTGGTCAGGTTTTGGGGATCCGTGTTGTTCTTGCATCCATACAAAACCTTATTGATGCAGTTTTTCATAGCAAGGTACGCTGCACTGAAAAGAAAATGCAAACAAATTAGAGATCTCGAACATTCCAGCCGACCGAATGGCCAGGAATTATCGTAATTTTGCCTTCACTACACAACCGAACACACTCAAAGGTTGAGGCATGGGTGCGATGGTCAGCCAGGCCCAAGATATGTTTTAATTACGACAATGAGCTTACAACAAAGTGGATAAGAGATACATCAAGTAACGTCCTACATGCGCCAAAGCCGGACACGTAAACCCGAAAAAACCTCTTGTTAGGAAAAATAGGGACAGTTTTAAGGTAGGTTGATCTATAAACAACAGAAAGAAAAAACAAATCATATAACGCTAATTACACAATAAAAATAAACCTTATGGGAAAGTGCTAGTGGCAAGGCTGACCGTAGAATGTGACAAGTTTCTCAACCGTCTCTTTTTAAAAACGTACTACCCATGAGCCCTCGCGTACTACGCTGGCACTCAGTTCTCTGCTCCGTGTCGACAAAATATCAATTTATGTCAGTACCGATTATCACAAATTACATTTGCCAACGGTCATGATAACATCAACTCGTTCCCACGCTCTTTGTTGTGTCTATCTCGCGTTCCCCTTGTATCGAAAAGGCCATGTACCAGCAGATTAACTAATCTAGCTGCCAGTCTATCATCAGAGGAACCCTACGGCATTGTTGTACACTGGGGTAGGGTGAGGCACTGTGAGCGTTAACTGTCTTGTCCAAGAACATAACACATAAAAGCCTCGGCTATAGGAATCGAACATTTCCAACTAGCTGTAGTATCAGCATGTCTATGGCTTCCACTGAACAAAAATGGCCACCACTCACCTGCAGTCTTGTTTGGGGTTTTCCTTGATGGTACTAAAAAACTCATCCATCAAGCAGGCCTTCGCTTTAACGTCAAATTGGTCCTGTGTACAAGAGCTGACCAACTTTGCACCATAACAAAACAAAACTGGAAAGAAAGAGACAAAAACGCAGTTAAATAAGTCGTTTAATTCTGAAGGGAATTTGTTCTCGAGTCCTCTGGTTGCAATTTCTTAAATCAATTCAATTCTTTATTTACACTATGTAGGGCATTTACATACATTTTACAAGTAAAGTTATTAAAAGAGTGAAATATTAAGAAAATGAAGCCGTAAAGAGCAGCCATGCAAATTTATTGGAACAAAAAGAAGTCTTCACATAAGAAAAGAGTTCAACTCCTACAGGATTGGTTTGATACACCAACATGGCCGCCGTTTCATTGTCTTGGAACACCAATATGGCTGCCATGACGTCATGTGCATACACTCTACATTTGAGCG